AACAGGGTCCAGTAACCATCACAGTGGCAGACATCCAAGAACGGGTTTCCAGTATGAAGAGCTGGACAACACCTGTTATCAGGTACCCTGCTGAGGCGTCTGTATCCAGTAAGGGTCCTAGGCTAGACCCCTCATGCTAAATAAGCCTCCAGTATGAAGAGTCGGACATGAGGGAGAGAGATAAATATGAATGCTACGGCAAGGGGGACCCAGGACAACGGTCAGGGGGGAGATATCCACCCGAGTGGAGAAAGGCACTAATCAATGCAGCACAGGAACAAGCTCTGAGGCTGGGGTCTATCACACACCAGCATTCATAGATGAAGAAGGTCAGTGGTAATTTCGTAGGGGCAGAAGCAAACTTAAACTAAAGAGTCAGAGTAGAATATAACTGACTCAATAACTTCATTCTGACCTGATGAGTTTCTGGCCTTCGAAGCCTTTGAGCGTCGCCCACTGGCCGTAGCATCGGCCGTCTCCTGCTTCAACGCACCCAGACAGAGGCCTCCACGGCAGTACGTCGGCGTATGTGCTCAGGGCGTCAGGGAGAGAGGAGCCGTGCATCATGGGAAAGGGGACGGCACCATAAGCAGCCACAACCTGTGATTTAAACATTGGTTACCATAATCTCAGGCATCTCCACAGATAAATAACCTAGCTGCAACATCCAGCTAGCTTGTGAGACTTCATGTCCTTTATATACCTATAGAGCTTCGAGCTAGTTCCTTTCATGACTTGATTAAAAAAATAAAAATAATATTTGCTGAAGGGGGAGAAAAAAAAACCCAAATAAACGAACAATTGTTAAATACCTTCCTCCCTGATACAGTCAGGTCATCTGCCAACTGCCACATGGGGACGCTGTTGTTTCTCAGCCTGTAAGGTGCAGTGAGGGTGTCCAATGCCAAAGCCAGGACAGAACTGGAGTGGTACCACAGTGAGGGCTGGCACAGAAGACAGACAGATAAATGTTTGTATATAATCCTGCATACCTGCACATGTAAACTGTGTGTCTATGAGTTGAATTATCTCTTTAATCAGAGCTGTGCCAAAGTTTAAAGTTTGAGCACTTACATTTGGATAGAACATAAAATAAGTCAGTACAAGGTCTTAAAATAATTGCTTGTTGACCAAAGGACACAATAATAGTACTGCAGCCAGTCTCACATCATAACTGAGGTGGGTGAACGTCGTGGGAGAGGACGGTCGTCTTCCCAGACCACCTCGCAAGGTCAACGGGCAGAACAAAGAACTGTGACTGGCCATGTGTACCATCCCTAAAGTGCAGTTCAGCAGGCGGTAGAGATCCTTCACTGGCGTCTGTTCAAACAGAGACAATAAACATAAATAAAGAAGCCGCATTACAAAACACTTGGTTTTAAATAAAGAGACACTCACTGAATCTGGGTGACTGACAGGTAACAACCCCCAGGTTAGGATGCCCCTCCCTCCGTAAGAGTCGTGAAGCAGCTCAGTGACCTTCGACCCCAGACCTGCAAAGCCATCAGCCAAGTCGCACAGCACCTGGAAGCCCTGAAAGGAAAAAAGGATTGAGGAAGCACAAAGAGATATGCAAGAAGATGGCAGATACGAAATGGTGTACAAGTAAACTTTGATTAGCATATTTTTGAAGGTCTTAGAGTAAAAATAAATATTTATAACTGTAGAGGAGAGTGAAATGGAAGAGTTACCTGAAGGTAATCGCACTCCTCCACAAAGAAGTGCAGCCTGTCCTCCAGCTCCTCGAGCACCGACCCCTGGAGGAGAGACTCGCCCTGGCCGAAAGCCTCCAGACGGTGAGCCTCTCTGAACGCCCATAAAAGCAAATATAAAGCACTCAGTTTAAATACCTCATAACTGTAAGTCAGCAAGTCTCAAGAAGCCTTTTTAAGTGTGGTGGAGAAGCAGGTGTGGGTGTGTTTTAGATTTAATTTAATGCTTTATTTCATTCTGTAAACCAATTTAAGAATAAAATTAATTTAAAAAACTGGATGTTCTTTAATTTTATTCTAAAGTATTCAGGTTTCGTCTAATTACTTTAATAAAACAAAAAATGACAGCTTGGATACGTGAAGTTGTATAATAAACTTGTTTATACATTTTCTGCCATATCTTCCAAACTGACACACAGAGAACAGTCAGTTTTAATCCTGATTGTGAGGGAAGGCTGACATCTAGTGGTGAAACGCAGGTGAGGGCCTTTCACTCTTATTTTGTGGTCTAATATGGGAAGTTATAAATGGTTAAGCTGTCATAACTGAATTGCTTGTTTCTGTCTGTCGATTTGTGTTTCATACATCTAGTCAGGTTTGTTCATCTTAAAATAAGACGATTTTATGTGAGTAAAAACTAACATATTCCTCAAAATCCTGCACTGTGTTTTGGGCTACAGACTCATTTTTAAAATGTTTTCTGTGTCATAATAATCTAGATCTGGAGAAACTTCTTTGATGACAACATACAACAGTTTGCATAATGAGGTTTGGAAAATATTGGGAACATTTTAAGCTGTTTCGATGAGATGTGACAGGAAATTCTGCACCTGCAGTTTTTATGTTGAAGTTATGGCTCTGACTCCTTTAGAGGTTCAAAGTAAGAAGCATCAACAAACTACAGGTAATGTTGCACCCGCCTTACCCATCGTGGTTGTACTGGTGGATGACCGAGATGGTCCGAGGGTGCAGGTGGATCCTGAGGAAGTCAGACCACACCTTCACGCTGCACTCCAGCCTGTAGCTCTTGTGTACTCTGGCCAGGTGGCTGTTCACCGTATCCACACTCAGTGACCCTGCTGCTGGGAGAGATTGGTTTTTTTAAGCTCATGTGATGATTTTGGTACAGAAACTTGTTATTTCATGCCCGTTTGCTTGAGAGGTTTTCATACCTGAGCACTGAGGCTGGGAGCTGGAGGGAAAATCAGCCTCTGCAAGTATCTCCCCTTTCTAGACACAAAGAACAGACAGGCTCAACTCTTTGGAGACGTCTCTACTGAGCTATTTTTTTCTGGAAATTTGCTCTCGCACAGCCAGTTTCATCACTTATTGCATTCTGTGGATTAATTTGGGAAGCTATGACACACAGCAGTGCATCCTTATTTATTACTTACTTATAGGGATTTTTACAAAGAGAGAAAGCAGTGGTGATCTGTAACCTGGTCGCAGTCAGTGATGACACTACATGCATGTATGCGAGTCCCTTCAAGCAGTCCAGGGCATGACACGCTTCGACCCGACTATAACTGTAATGTGTGTGTTTGTTGTGAAAATCTCTTTGTGTTAGTTTTCATTTCTACTTGAAATACTCACATCCAACTTATCAAGGTCTTCAAGGAAGGAGTTCTTTGCAGGAGGACTTTCTTCGTGCATAGTGATACTTCCGTCCCTGCCGAATTAAAAAAAATTTTTTAGTTTTCAGTATATACACTAAATATGAACAGTCTTAGGACCAGTGCATGTAATAAATGGATTAGTTAAGAATAATGGCGACTGTCAGTGCAACCCCTTAGCCTCCTAGCAGATTCACCTGTGGTATCAATTACAAAGTCCTACATTGGCTCATTTTCATGTCATCGTATTCACAAAGTGTCCATACCACCTGCCCAGTGGGGTGACTACAAATACTCATTCCTTTTATCACCGCAGGGTAAAAAAGGGATATGCTATAGGATTTGATTTGCAGTGTTGGGAAGGTTACTTTTAAAATGTATTCCATTACAGAATACAGA